ATAGAGGCCCAACATATATTTGGACTCACCCACTAAACCTTGAAGCTCTCAGTGAACGCTGCTGTGAAGAAACAACCAGAAAATATCCTGCTTCACAGCAATGCATGAAGCATGCAATTATATTCCTATCTTGACAAAAATGTGATTAAAAACACTGTGCCACATTAAAAATTCAGTTTTTATTTCACGGACAGACAGCTCACAACTGCTCGGCCTTGATTTATTTAACAGACTCTAAAACCAAAGGCTGAAGCCCGTCTAGACATGGACCTCCTCCTACACGGTTTTCTTTACCAGAACAATAACCGAGTCTTTGAACAGACACATGAAGTTGGCTCATTTTATGAAATGAAAACCATCATTATTACATTTCTTGTCACCCATCCTCGCATACATTCAGCACAGAAGCTCCTAGAATTACACATCAAACGGAGTGAAGTCGTCAGAGGTGGGGGAGGTGAAGGACATGAGGAAAGTCCCATGAAAGGTCTCAACTGTCTGCCTTTAAGGGTTCAACAAGCTTAATAAATGAGTTTTCCTCTTGACACCAGAAGATCCTTAGGGATTTAGCAAGGATTCCAATTTAATAAACTCCTTCCTTCAGTTTTCCTCCGAGGCACAAAATGTAAAGCTTTTACAGAAAGGACAACTCATCTGTGGACAGTATCGCAGGGATGCTTACAAAGCACTGATGAAATCACCTAGAGCTGGTTAATTGCTTTGCATTATTGTCATGCTTCAATGCAAAACCACCTTGAGTGACATTGTATCGATGCAATTCAAGAGAACAACATTTAACAAATAAAGTATTTAATTAGTAACGGGTATCGAACAAACAAGGCTCAGACTTGCCCACTGCACTCTTTCAGTGTACGTTTTAACCAAATAGTCGTTTACATTTGTACAGGAGCTTGTCATTGGTCGGGTAGGTCTCTAAAAGGCCATCATGGGGGTAGCTGAACACAGCCAGGGATTTAAAAACACGTAGGTGGTCTTTGTGAGGCTGGGTCTGCAGACAAGTGGCTGAACAATGAAGTGACTGAAAGGTCAACAGGGCAATGCACATACAAACTGGGAGGATTAATCAAACGTCACAGATGAACAAGAGTTTCATTGTTTGCTCATGATGTCCACCTAAATCTGAGACCAGGGCCATTACACAGCAGAATGGCCCCAAAGCAGCACCCGCTTAGCAACATTATGTCTGGAATTTGTAATGAAGCGGTCATTTTAAAATACCGATCTGAACTGCATTAGCATAATCATTTTTTCTAATTTTATTATGGTGTGCATCTTTATGAAGCATTCACACTATCGTGATCCTTTTTTTTTTACCCCCCGTATGTTTTTCGGCATCCTTCTCGTTCCACATTTTTTTGGGCTATTTCAACAAATCATATATCAAAAGTTCAGCTCTTTCAGGACAATCCTGCTCTGACTTTTGGTATTGGTGCAACTTTAGCTTTTTGAAATATTTAGCCTTTTCTATCACTTTTTCCCCCTCATAGGATATGAATGAAGCTCATTTTACATCCTTCAAATACTTAGATACGTTTACAACCTTTTACTGCTCCTTTCACATTTTGTTCTGCTTCAGCTTCTTTCAGATTCTTGGTGCAAATTTAAACGTGTTTTCAGCTACTTTCAGATAATTTCAGCTGTTTTTCCAGCTGTTTTGTGATCATTTCAGATTATTTCTGCTAACTACAATATTTCTGAGCTTCTAAGCTTTTTCTGCTATTTCAGCTAATATTTAGCTGGTTTATGCTTCTTTTTTTAGCTTTTTCAGCCAATTTCACATTTTTAGCTAATTTCAGCTCTTTCCACTTTCTTCTGATTATTTAAGCACCTCTGCCTTTTCTGTTACTTTTCAGCTACTTTTGTCAATTTCAGCCTTTTTTTTTTAGCTAATTTCATAGTCTTTGTATTGATTTCTGCTTATTTAAACCTAATTCAACAAATAAGTGTTCTTTCTAATTCCTTCTGCTAATTTAGGCTTGTTCTTCCTTTTCAGCTAAAATTCTGCATATTTTTTAGCTAATTTCAGCTGTTTTTCAGCAAGTTCTTCAGCAAACAAACATTCACACTGCAGTTTTGCAGGAAATGCAATTTCTCTCATTTTTCTCATTGAAAGTGCGCATTTTTGAGTTGATAAACAGACAAATTAGTTCCTACAGAAATTTGCATTTTATATTGTAAAAGAAAATACAGTTGTAACAGTTTTAAATGTGTATAAATAAATGTGTTAACTATTATTGCAAAATTTAAAATAAGGTATGCAAATATCACTTCTAAAAGATCCAAATCCATGACACTAAAAATGTTTTGCATATCACAAAGACCCCCCTGAATAATGTCCTTGTCATCTTATCACCCTCTGACTTTGTTGGTCCCAGTTTCTTCTTTTTGGAGTCACTGATAGCCGATAAATCTGCTCGTCTTCTGAAGCAGCCTTGTGGAGCTTTTGGAGGCTTATAACATCAAAGGCTAAACAAAGGGGGAGATTGTTTAAATAAGATGACCCAGGAGTGATTAACGAAATGGCCAAAATCAAACAGGCTCAACTAATCTGTGACGCTCTTCGTCTGACTCCTCAGGCAAAACTAAAGCTTTAGACATAAACAGAAGCTTAAAAATATATATTTTTCTATTATTTTAACAAAAAAAAGTAAATCCAAAAGCCATACTAGACTTTAAAAATAAATCCCATATGTGCATATTTTTTATTTAAATTCCTTTACACAGACACAGCCCGTATACTTGCGGGCCACAAACATCAAGTTTGGGAAACGTGTGTCTATCAGCTCTACTGCTTAGCTACGATAACATCTCTAATTTTTCTGCTGTGTTGCAACAGTATGCTGGGTCACACTCTACTTCTCATTATCATAAACACAGCTGACAAACTGTTCCAGCAAGGCAGTGAATCTAATTTAATCTGGATTGCATCAGTTCACTTTGATAGCTGCTTTTACAGTGAACTGTTGGACAAAGTAAATATGAACTGCCTTCAGGCAAGTATGGGAACAGAAAAATGTAAACAAGACCAAAGACACGCACAAAATTGCTGTGTTTTTCATTTAGTAACTGTGTGGGATGTCATACATGATCAAACAACTGGACACATCAGCGTCAAGCCCAAATTAACTTTGGTTTTGCAGAAACACACCAGTTAGAATCACATTCCTCATACTGGCTAACAGACAATGGCAATATGTTGTGAGAACGTTCTTTTGTGCCAAGTGTTGGGAAAGTTGGAGCTTTTTTTTTTTTTTTTTTTGCTAAAACTTTATACGAGTATAAGTTTACAACGTGTGCATATTTCCAAGAAACAAGAGTGGCCTCAGAACTCAACTCAGACATCTACCTCTGGTAAAAGCAAAAACATTGTGGACTGACATTGTGAGATGATAAAACAAATTTACTTTAAACTGGCTATTTTAACAAAGACTGAAATAATAGCAAATTAAATAAATTAATATAATGTGTAGGGATGTAAGATATTGGATTTTTGGCCGATAACCAATACCAATACAAATACCTTTTTTTTCCTAGACGTACTTACAGAGACTACATAGCTTTCTCTGTTGTGGAATTAAAATACTACATTATTCTGCATGGTCTTTGTTTGGCCTGCTACCAAACGAAGAAGCCAAAAAGGGGGCTGAAAATGATGCAACACTTCAACTTGGATTATGTTTAATGTCAAATTTATTCATAACATTTACTCTCTAACACAATGACAACACTCGAACAGAGCTTGTGTGACGTCATAACATTGTGCTGGCGCTGCAGGCATCCTTGTCGTACAAAAACATCGCCTTTTGTATTGGGGAGTTATTTTGATGGAGTGGCCGATGTCCGATATTTAATTTCATCGCTAAAATCGGTCGATACTGATACCATGCCGATAATATCATGCATCCCTAATAATGTGCTAAACAAAGGTGTTCCATGACCATTCTCAAGTGCATATAATCTCTTTGTGGAAAGATTTATGAAAATCAAATGAAAAGCATATTCCATCGTTATCACAATCTTCCCAGCATGTGCAGCTCTGTTTTAATCAGATCACCAAAAACAGCTTAAACTGTACTATAAGTGTGAAAAATACTTCTTTTTTTCTATTTATTTAACCTTTGCTTATACAGGTAGTCTCGCTGAGTCACGAGGACTCGCTTTCAAGAGAGACCATTTAACAATGTACAACGTATCTAGTTATGTTTTACTCTCAGTTTTTCTCGTCTAGTTTATTTACGACCATCAGATGGATAGGAAGTTGCAGCTATTTCCATTTGGGTGATTAAATGTGTTGATAACAGCAATCAGCATGTTTTGAAACTTGTTCTGATAGTGCTACACAGAGAAGACGGAACATGAGCTAAAACTACTACATACTGTATGTAGGCATTACCTTCACTTCTTTCAACAAAGCTGTTTGTCACTTAGAAATTAAGTCACAGCACTGAAATACCAAGACTAACTGAAGTCGTTCTCATACAAGAAAAACTAAGATAAACCAAATATACAAGAAGGACATGTGCACAGACAAATTAGAGATTAACAAAAAAAAAAAAGAGCAGACATTCAGTTTAAGCATTACCACATCAGTGTGTCTTACATTCCCAATGTCTCTTTAAATTTATAGAGCCTGGATGAGGGTTAGGACTCCACATCACACACTTCCACATCCGCAAATACATCTCTGTTTATACAGCCAAGCCTTTAAGGAGCACGCGTCGGTGTGGACATATTAAATTATGCGTTTAGACGAGTGAAAACCTAAATGGGACTGTTGTCTGATCCGTATGTTTCCACTGTATTCTAAATGATGTAACTTTCACTCAATTATGGCCACACAAGCTCAGCAATCAATGATAGTCGGAAGGTTAATGTGAGGATTGGCCTACACAAACAAAGTCAGATTCCATTGGAAAAATGCAACAATTTAAATGTCAACTCAACCAAAACACCAACTTTTACTCCATAAAAATTCTTACCTGGTAGTAGTCTTTAATCTGTCGTATGAGAATGGAAAGGTTCTGAATGCGCAGCGTGGGGTCATTGTTCACTTTCTTGTTGGTCCTCTGCACAGTAGCTTTAGGATTTCTGTAGCAAAAACAGAACAATCTTACCAACTCTACCACAACTATAACATCAAGAAAAGGCAAATGCATATAAAATATTTGCTTTGCTAATGTGTCACTAGAGATATTAGCAAGTTAACTGAAGACTGGGGTTCTTTTGTCATGTTGAAACTTAAAACAAAACAGCCACCCTTTGCGTCTGGTTCCACTCTTCCAAACCATTTCTACTGAGAACTAAAATTAAATTTAGTGCAATTTCATTAAAAGAATATTTTAAAAGTTTCAAACAGGCAACATTATAGTGGAGTATGTCAGGAATTGATTAACCAATAAGCACATAGACTTGTAAATATCTTAGACAAACGGTCAGTCACAATGAGGAATGTCTGCATTTTGTAAAGGCAAAATATTAAAGACCTGAACTGTTTGAAAAAGGAAAATAAATAAAACACTAGATTAAATGACTCAAATGCTAAAGATTGGTCTCATATTAAACAGATTTTACAGAACTAAAAACAGACTGCCTTTCACATCTCACACAAAACAACATGTTTATTTGCAGTTTACAGTAAAGTCTTTTGACAATCTGTCATTCTTCAGCCGTCGTGTTTGGAGAAAACTAAATAGTAATATTCCTCCCCTTTCTTATAAACAAAAAGAGATCTCTGCAAATCTTTTCCCGTGTGACCTTCCAAGAAAAACAAAACTCTTGTAGTCCATATCTGCAAGGTGTTCTTCTAATGAAGCAATTATTATTTTTATTATTAATTATTAATGTATTATTAACCTTTATTTAACCAGGCAAATCCCACTGAAAGTGCAGATCTGTTTTGTAAAGGAGGCCTGAAAGCATCCCAAGATGTACGTGTTGAACTGTGGGAGGAAACCAGAGTACCCAAAGAAAAACAACACAAACACAAGAACATGCAAACTCCATACAAAAAGACTCCAGATTCAAACTGGGGACTGAACCCAGGACCCAGTTGCTGTGAGGCAACAGTGCTAACCACATTATGCTACCACATAGCTACCATATATAAATTTCAAAGATATACAGTAATGCAAAAACACCCGATGAACTTTTTATGAGGGTCAATAACCAATGACCTTCCACTCTGAACAGAAGGATGGTCCTGATTGTTTATGAATGCATGCAGTGCAGCAGCCCATGTAAAGCCATGCATGTGTGCAAACTGCATCTGAACTTTTGATTGAAAATATTTTTAAAAAACAGCCGTGATCAATTTCAGACCCTGAAATCTCAATATAATAATATAATACAGCTCAAAACATTGGGTACAAAAGAGAATAGCTGATTTTTAACAAAAAAGGTATTTTTTTAAGTCAACTGGCTGCATCACGGGTTTGTTATTAGTCTTTGGCCAGCCTCCACCCTTATACACACACAAAGACACACATCTATGCTAATCAGGAGGACACAAGCCTCTTTTAATACCGGTCTAAATGAACAGTCATGTGACCTCTAACTCACACACACACAGCTCTTTTTGAAGCCCACTGCAGGGGGTCTATTTAACCCATTAATTAAAAGCACAGTGGAGGCTGTAATCCTATCATAACGAGCAGGGTAATGTGGTGTATGAAGTAGGCGAGAATGAAAAATGGCAGATTTGGTTTCCATTTATGTATTCCATCATCAGCTGAGAACATGGCGGCTGCACACAACGGTCTCCTGTCATGCATACAAGCAGGGCAGTCTGACACCCTGTGGTTCAGCAGACTGATAAATACAAGGATTTAAGATAGTAGCAGACGTAAAATATAACACTTATTATCTCCCTCCCTCTCCTTGATCCCTGCTGATACAATACACTTAAACACACAAAAAGATTAAGGATAGACAGCCAAAGCCTGCTCAATAGGCAGCAAGACAGACAACCAGTCAGCAAGACTGCCAGACGGCAAGTCAATAAGTTGGTCCATCAGTGCCGTCGATTGGCACTGCAGTCTCAGAGCCTGGGGGGCCACTGGGCTTCCTCCTTTCATCCCCTGCCTTTGATTGGTCATGTGGGTTATGGAGTAGTGTTAACCTATATATGACAGGCTAAATTACACTCAGTTTGAGCAGTCAGGCACATACCCATGCACAGCCACAGAAAGCAGCCTGAGTGCACACACACAAAGAGAAAATGCAGGCTGCACTTGGCCACGTGTTGGAGGCAGAGATTAGAAGCTGTACTGCCCAAACACAGCGGGTCAGTGTGTGTTCTTGGACCTCCAAGTGCGAGCGCTTCTCAGCAGCCATGCTCAGATTAACAGATCAGGATAATTCCAATTCAGGTTAATTCTAGCCTAATAAATTTAACCTGACAGACAAATATTCTCTTGCAGCACACTGAAATGTATAATCAAGATAAATGACCATGTTTCATCAAATCACCCTTGAAGAAATTGAAGAAGGCATTTTATTTTCAACTGCAATGCCTCTTATTTGATAAATCAGTGGTTCCCAACCCAGGTCCTTGTGGAACACCATCCTGCATGTTTTAGTTGTTTCTCTGTTACCACACACCTGATTCAGTGGTTTAATTACTTCATGTTCTGCAGAAGCCTGTTAATCACCCATTCATTTAAAGCACGTGTCAAAGCAGGGAAACAACTAAAACATGCAGGATTGTGTTCCTCAAGGACCTGAATATAGTGATGCATTTGAAATCCTCACTCCTCTCCGTTCTCCCACATCTCAACACTCTTCAGCATTTTGCTCCATCATCTGAGCAGTAAGTGTCCTTTGAAGTGGCCAAATATAAATGTATGAATGAATGACACTTAGAAAATGGTGTTTTGCTGTTCAAACAATGTCAATGTCAACGTAGTCACACACATGCTGCATTAACAAACATAAGATCATGCCCACATGGAGACAATTCTTTACAAAACTATCCTAAAGATGCAGGTCTGAGCCGTGGAATTCTGTTATCATCACCTCATTTTCTTGTTTTAGCTTTTCACCGTCCATCACTTCTCGCCTGTCTTTGTTTTTCAGTTGCCATGGGGCCTCTTCCCATTCCTGTCCTCTGCCGCAGTATCCATAGGAACAGCAGCTGGACTTGCTCCTGCCAAGCTGGGTGGAACCTGGTGCAGTTTTACTGCACTTCAACCCTTAACTTCCTCAAATAAAGGCTTGCATCGTAATCTGAAGGGGTCGATACCAGACTCCTTTAGAACAGCGTGATAATCTGTAGTCATGAGTTCCACTTTAGAACCTTAAAATTGTACATGGCTAATTATTATTATTATTATTAATGGTCTGCTGGTAATACTCAATGTTAAGCTGCAGTAAATGGAACTCAGTAACTCTTGCTGATGTTTCACAGCAAATGTCTTTGAGGGAACAGAGGGGATTATTAACCCCCCGGGCTGTTGAAAGGCTAGAAACAGATGGACAAAGTGTTGAGTTTGCATTAGCTGCAAAAAGCTGCACCAGCAAATTAACAATGGGAGCAGACAAAACAGTAATCTGACATGTAAATAAATTAATACACGATCAATAATCCATCCAAACATACAATTATCAACTGTGATCTGTTGCAGTTTAGCATGACTAAATCTTGGCTTTGCATTGTTGGGCATGGGAAAATAAAGAGTCCATTTGTTGCTGTAATTCAAACATGTCCTTGAAATAGGAGGTTTACAGTCACGTTATTAACCTTGGAAAACAATGTTCTCCCACAGCTGCAGTTTCCTGCCAAAGTGACACACATCCTGCTACAACTTAAACACAGAGAGCCTGGCAAAACTCTATAAGATGATTTGGAAAGCTCCAAAATTAATAGTAACTTCACACTGATGTAGAAACACAGACACCCCCCCCCCCCCCTTTCACTGCAGACAGAAGCAGTCTGACAGACACCCAGCAGCACATCTACCGCCTCCCTTCTCCAGTCGAGCAGGAATCTGAACTATGTTGTTAATAGCCCCAGAGAAGGTCAACAAAGGCTTCACATGCTGCTCAAGATAAAAAATAAAATAAAAAAAACAACGGAGGCGAGGAGACATAAACCAAAAAGAGAAAAAGAATTTATGAAGACACATGAGGATGGAAGAAACGGGTATCATTTACTGAAATTAAGCTAAATATATAAAAGAACAGATGAAACAGAGCATTCAATCAGGGATCAGCAAAAAAAAAACAACAAAAAAACTAGTGATTATTTTTTTCCGGCACTTGTCTCCGTTTGTCATTTTATAATCCAATACAGTATATCAAAAAGGTTTTTCATAATAAAACTGCCTGGATTTAGCATTTTGTCACGTGAGTTTATGAAAACGAACCATCTTCAATTAACAGCTTTCTTCCAGTAAAATTGCACTTCTGGTCAAACCAAAAATGAGAGACTGCGTGCAGTAAGAAATATAAAAGTTGAATGTGCGAGTCTTCCTATGATCCAACATGCATTCAGCTGTTTCACTGATGATTTTGTTTGATATTCAACACGGCCAGCTACATGGTGCCAAAATGACCACAAGATCAAATACACGGAGGTTCAACTCAGAAAACGTCCCTTCTGAATCTGCAGTCTGCATCAGCAGGTTCATGTTTACGGCTTCGGTGGTTTAACGACGGGGGGAAGATGCAGATGAAAATGCTGACCTGTGATGGTTACGTTCTCAGCTTTGGAGAAACATTTAGGCAGATTTACAGACGTGCGTGATTTTGTCTGAATATTCAGGAAACACCGACCTAAAGAAAGTGAGCAACCATACTCGTTTCATAATCCACAGACTTTTTGAAGCTTTTATACTTTTTTGGTGAAAATAAGGCATTTGGACCAGTTCTTAGATGCAAAGATTAAAATGATCCATTCATTAGTTGTGGAAAATTATCCTTTCTTTATATATATTTACTTCCATTCACTTAATAGCCCCCAAGGAGGTTCTGAATGGTTGACTGAACATGACTGCAGAACTGGCAAGAAATCAAAGGATTCAACTGGACCTCTGTCCCTGTGACAACATTTAACTGGCACCGTCTTGCAGAATAGAAAAGCTAATTGGTTTGACAGCAGTAGGAAGGCAATCTAATTGGCTCGATAATGTCAGTCACATGAGGACACGGGCAGGGGGCATGGTGCCATCTGGGTATCTGTCAGCAAGCCGTTAAATAATCCTGGGGTCTCTCCTCTGTTGTCCTGATGACAACGGTTTCCCTCTTACATTCACACTTTGCACCAGTAAAAACATTATAAGGGTAAATGTATCCAGTTGTGTGAAAAACACAAGCTTTATTATTTTTGAGAGCTCATATTTGCATTTTGACTCTCAGGTGTGTTTCTTTTAACCATTCATTTTTTTTCAAGCTTTCACAACCGGATCAAGTCTTCCAACTTGAAGTCACAATAAAGCGTTATCAGCTGCTGTATAGCACAGAATGTGACCAAGAAAACAAGAAAATGTGAGGGAAAAAACAATGTGCTTTTAGGAAATTAACAACTAAACAAACATGGTTCCTGTTAATTATCACCTATAGCTCTTAAAAAAAAAATGTAGGGAACATTTCCTATAGCTTCAACACTACTTAAATTCAAAGAAAAGTGTAGGAGGAAGGCATTGCTTGACTCTATGGTTAATATACTTTTAATATAATAATATTATCTAACTGTAACTGGGACCCTGTGTACATAGTTTCGTTCCACATGTCATGAGAATGACAATAAAAATCCTTGTATCCTTGTATTAATAATATTCATCTTTGGCAGCTGCAAAGCTGAGATGTGTAAGCTTAAGAGTATTTTCTGTCACCTGAGCCCACAGCTGTTTGGCTATGGTGCTCATAAAGCGAGAAAGCAGACAGAGAGGTTTCACCAATCCAAGATCCAACCATTACTGTAGTCCTTTGTGTGGGAGGGCGGCTGGGCTAGACGACTACCAACAGCTGCCTCAGTCCAAAACAAATGCACAAAATCCATCTACAGATACTCCCACACAGAGCCTCGCAGAAACGCATGCATGCAAACACACACGCTGGCTGCTGTGTTCCCTGACATCCTGTCAGGCAATCCCTGAGCCAGCTTCAAGTTCATTCCAGTTCATTTCTGGCTGTTTTTGTCTGGAGACTTAAACCAGCCACAGGAAAATATCTCAGCTATTTTTTTTAGACAGAAACCCAACTGAGAACTTGATCCACACATCTTCACCCCAACGGTTAGAGCCAAAAAAAAACAAACGAACAAAAAAGCTCATCAACCTAAATTTGATGTTCAGCTTTCGCATGTCTGCTTTGTGATGTCAAAGGTTAAATCATCCTTCTGTTCGTTTTGTTTGTTTGTTTTGACAAATCATTTTCTGTCTTGCTTCCAACCCTCACCCCCTTCCATATCCTTCCGGTTGCTTACCCAATATCCAGTCCCATAAGGAAAAAAATGCTCCGAAAATACTGCCGACCTCTTGACTCATAGTTTACAGAGCAAAGGAGGAAAAGATGTCCATCTGAACATAAAAGCAGCCTCCCCAAAGACATGTTTCTGTTTTGAAACCACTGAGCGAGTAGGTCGGAGCAGGTTGGAGGATGAGGAAGAAAACAAGCGCTGGAGAGTGAGATGGGAGAGGTTGTTAAACTTAAGAAGACTGATAGCCAGAGCAGCAGGAGGTGGAGGACACTGGAAACAAGATGCCATTGAGACAGGAAACAACCAAGTATAATGAAACGCAGTAAAATCTGCATGGAAAAGAAATTATGTGAACTCAAGACTCTGTTCTTCTTTCTCCTGCAGTTGGAACAACAAACACCTCATGTGTCTTTGAATTTTCAGTATGCCGTTCCTTTCGAACGTTTAATGGCTACCTTGCATCTGAAAAAAAAAAAGAACCTTTTCAAGCATCTTTATGTCCTGTAAATTTTGCAGAACTGCCGAGAGACGCCTGACTTGTACTGATGAGAGGCGACACTAGCTGTGCCACACCACACATAATCTCCTCCTAAATCCATTCAACTGGGAGCAGACATGGCTGAATGCTCCTTAGACAGGCAAGCAGTGGAAATGCTGACAGTGTACAGTGTAGCATTAGTGGAAAAAATATATATATAAATTAAATCCTCCTAGCAGGAAGTAGAAGCCTGGAGTCAGACAAAGGAATGGAAAGCTGTCTCTTGTCATGTCGTATATTATTCAGTGACTGGAAAGAGACAAATTTGACCTGCAGGGCTTCAAAAAAAAAGTCTCAAAATCAAGAGATCTAGCAAAGAGTCCCAATTCTCTTTTTAACTCAGAAGAATCCACACACGTGCTTCTGTGCTTTCCTGAGCTAGTGTGCAATTTTCAGACGGATTAGGTGCTACTACTGGATTAATCTTCAGCACAGCATGGGTGCAGCTTCAAGAAGCTCCCAGCCTCCTGCAGCTGACAGAGGAACTAAAAACACTTTGAAAGATGTGGAGCAGCATGCTGTGCATACATGCACCGGATAGTGCTGCAGACCCCTCGCTGCACCCCACAAAACAGGGTCCCTTTGTGAGTAGCCGTCATTCAGTTCAGCTGGACAGAGGTTGCAGTTGTTTAATTGGCTCCTGACCCCACAAAAGGCCTCAGGGTTAATATCATTTACCCCATTCTGAATCATACGCACTGAAAACTGCTGGGTTATTTGATTATGCCATTTTTGAGTTATGTGTTGTCATCATTGTATGTTCCCATATAATGGTGAAATTGGCTCTCTGCATTTAACCCATCCATGCCCAGGTGGAGCAATGGGCAGCAATTGGGGATATGGTGTCCTGCTCACAGACACTATGAGATGTGCAATGACTGAGGATCGAACCTGGGACCTTCGGGTCCTGGGTCGGCTGCCTCTACCCCATCTTGGCCCACTTAAAGCTATTAGGTTATAGGTTGGGCTGGTTTGACCAATTACTGGGTCAAAACCTTTGATTTGGTTGTAGATGAGTGGCATCATTCTTCATTCATTTTGAGGCAAATTTACCAAAAGTGACTGACTGAGCTTGTGGTTTAGGATGTGATAGGCAAAGGTACTATGGTACTATCTAGTAAAATTATGCTTAACCAGGTTGGCTTTGCTTAAAAAAAAAAATTTTTTTTTTTTTTTTAAGTAAACAGGAACTTTGGTTTCCTAAAATCACACTTTGGCCAACAGTGTTGTTTTTAAAGTACTTTATAAATAAAGTTGCATTGTACTGTACTGCATTGTAACATAGCATTAGCTGGTGCGAGCTAGTTGACGCTAATAGAGATTAGCATCAACTAGCTTGCGCCAACACATATCCAACAACTTTCTATCCACAAATCATGTCATTTTATCCAATTTTCAGGTCAGAAACTTAACCCAGTATGATGGGTTGAACTAATAACACCACTCCGCTGAGTTTAAACCCCCCCGGGGTTGGTTGGGCCCAAATTAAACCCAAGTGTACAAGTTGGTCCGTTATGAACCCAGCAGTTTTTAGAGCGTCCAACCTAACTATAGTAAAAAATGGCTACTATATTTTGCACACAGATCTGGTTTAAGGTTTGCTTGCCCTCATTTGGGCTAATTCTGTCTCTTTATGTAGGCCAGAGCAGACAGATGGGTTCAATTACTCACATCTCCAGCATGATCTCGTTCAGGTAAATCCCATCCACTAACTCAATATACTCTGATAAGTTGCTGCCGTCGGTCACTGTCGACTGTCCGGCTGTCTTCACCTGGAAAACAAAGGCAAGTATTTAAAATGAAATAAAAGAGGCGATGAATGGGTGATTCACCGTTTGAGGGTTTAATTACCCAGCAGACCAGAGGAGTGAGCATGAACTGCTCCAGCAGTGGAGAAAAAGCCTCGTTTTCCATGTCTGCCCGGGCTGAGTCGGTCATTTCTATAGATCTGAGCAGGGAAATGTATTCACACTCCTGTCATGTTGATATCGACGCTTTTTCCGGGATTTGTTTGTAAAGGAGGAGTTAAAAAAAAAAAACAATCTCCAATCTTCCCGACACAGTTCGTGTTGCCACCGTCGGGGCTTCTTGCTGGGCAGGAGAGAGACTCACATCTTATTTCATTGGATTTAGTTGTTGAAATTTACCTGCCGGGTCTCTGGGTGGGTCAGTCCGCTTCTCTGTTCATTAAAAAAAAAACGAATAAATGCAGATCTGTGCTGGAAGATTAAATAATTATATAAGTTTTAAAAAAAATCCTCATTTAAATAAGAAAATAAATATCCAGCTGGGAGTGGGAGGAAAAGAATCCATAGGTTTGAGCTCCTCGTTTTATTGTGGATGAAGCGACTCCTCTGTTCAAAGCTCTGACTGAGCTGAGAGGATGAGTGGAGGACACGAGGAACCGCCTCCCTCTCTGCGCATCTCCTCCTCCTCCTCCTCCTCCTCCTCCTCCTCCTTAAAGAAAAGTGGGCCATTGATCGAAGCAGAACATCTCTGTGCACATTCCCTGAGTCATCACAGGAATATTTCTTAGTCAACATGTAACTGTGTGAATGAGTGTGTGGAAAAGTGGCACTATTTGTTACATGATGACCCTTTAGTGCTCTATGTGTTGTTTAGAACGTCTCTATGGCACGTTTTATATTTATTTCATCATTTTTACCTTTATTTGTTTGTCAGGTAGAAGCAAAAGTCATAAGCATGCATCCTTTGTCTGCGTTTACAGCATGAATACTAAATAAATAGGTGAGCTGCTGACACCTGGTGGATAAAGATGTGTTTAAAAGTGTCAAAGTCAGGACAGAGTCAAATTAGAATTTTTATTCTTCACTTGATCTGTCCTTTGGTAATGCTTCTGTTAATTTGTTCAGGTGCAGACAGACCTTATAAAAGAAAAAAAAAGTATGACTTTAACAATATTTTCACATGTGACCCTATATCAGCTTGACTTTAAAAAAAAAGCACTTTCAACACTGACCGAGTTGTCCAGAAGAAAAAACATAATAAGTCACACAATATAAAATCAGAATAAAAATCAAGTTAAAATTGACTGAACAAGAAAAAATGAATATAAACTAAAGAAACTGCATTTCCTGCAAAAATGCAAACTGAATATTTAGGACTCAATAGTGACTTTTGAAGAAGCTGAAAATGATTTAATGACAAAAGAAGCAGAACACTAGCTAAAAATAGCTAAATGCAAGCTAAAAGAAGGTAAACAGTTGCTACTGGTAGCAAAATGCTAGCTAAAAGTAGCTAAATGCAAGCTAAAAGAAGG